TGCTGAGTAAAGGTATTAAAGGGGTCATATGATGCTGCTAAAAAGAACATTATTTTGTGTATTTGGTGTAATGAAATGTGTTCTGAAATAGAAATCTTTTTGACACTTTGAAGTTTGACACTTCTAAACAACTTATTGTGCCATTGCTGAGTAAAGGTATTAAAAGGGTCATATGATGTTGCTAAAAAGAACATTATTTTGTGTATTTGGTGTAATGAAATGTGTTTATGCGGTTTAAGGTTCAAAAAACACATTATTTTCCACATACTGTACATTCTTGTTTCTCCTCTATGCCCCGCCTTTCTGAAATGCATCGATTTTTACAAAGCTCATCGGTCTGAAAAGCGAGGTGTGCTCTGATTGGCCAGCTATCCAGTGCGTTGTGATTGGCCGAATACCTCAAGTGTGAGATGGAAATGTTACGTCCCTTACCATACTGTTGATACCCTGTCCGGCCGGAGTGACGAGACAAAAACATTAACACCCATTATAAACTAGATATTTGTTGCATCCAGTGGGGACATAATTATGGATTATAATGACTTATACTGTCTTTTTACGCGTTGCATCACACTGCATAAACATAAAACCATGTCTGAATTTGTGATCGGAGAAATTACAAACAACAAGCGCTACTCTACACTGCTCAAAACTCGCGTTGGAATCGTCAGTGGCAAATTCTTTAAATATGAAAAATGTACTTATCGTCTGAGTCAGAACAGGCGGCATTGTAGTCTACTCTACCAGGATCAGGAAACAGTCCTCCATAAAATGTCCTGCACACATCTGAATATTTGGGTTGAACTGTTCTGGAACAGTGTTGTAAATACAACTTAACCACTGATTTCTAGTCGTGTCCTCTTTTGGAAGGCCAAACAAAGTAGTTTCACTTTCACAACGAAACAGCGTCACACACGGCGGCCTACAGTGAGCAGAGGCCGGAGGCCTAGAGTGAGCCGCGGCCTAGAGTATGCGGAAGCCGGCTTGAGTGCGCAGAGGCCAGTGGCTAGAGTGAGGAACGGCAGGCTTGAGAGCGGTGTGGCTGGCGGATTCGACGAAGGAGCATCCAGCAGGCTTGCGGCAACCACATGTGACGACCCCGGGCTGGACTCCGCTTCGTCCACGGTGAAGGCCGATCCGGTGATCCACAGCGCAAAGTTGATGTATTTCCTCAGCGACCAGCACAGATCAGCTCTGGGCATGACGAAGCGGATATCGTCCTCTTTTGGAAGACCAAACAAAGAAGTTTCGCTTTCACAACGAAACACAGCGCCTTCATGACATGCCGGCGGTGGCAGCAATACTACAGCGAGAATAAAAGTTACGCCTTCTTTCTTTGCGTGAACATTTGGGCGGCGTTATGCAAATCTTCCCACATCGTGAGGTAGATATGTGGGGGCGTGTTAGTACGAGACGTTTTAGGTAGGCGTGGCTGACGCTGAACTTTTATAAAGAATATCTCTTTGGATTTGAGATTTTAGTCTTTGCAACTTTACAGATCTTCTTTATGCACCAAGAGCTTGTAACACTCCAAAGAGAAAGGAAAAATTGAAATAGCGTCATATGACCCCTTTAATTTTCTTTAAAAAAAGAAAAGAAAAAGAAAAGAAAATAAGTGTACATTCTAATATTTATAATGTCCTGACAATAATAAAAGTACATATTATATCACCTACTATTTAATGTTTTTTTTATCTGAATTATATACAATCTTAAACGTTATCCAAATCACTGTAAACAGACCGTCTCCGGCAGCTCGCATCTTTTTGCTTGTCATTGCGTAGGTGAAACGCATCCCCTTGCTCGTCTTCGCTGAGGGATGTTTGCAAACGGATTCACATTCGACATAAGAGGATAATTTACGACTTTAAACTAGCGGTGAGAAATGCTTATTACTTCTATGCTATTTGTTTCAGCCGTTTATATTTGCATAGTCTGCTGCGTATAGCACGGTTGTTTTATGTACTGCTCCGCGCGAGTCTCTGAAGCCTCGGTGATTCCTGTGTCGTTTGTCCGCTTTTGACCAGCTAGTCGTCAGCGATCTCCTACGGCCTACTGTCGCTGTAGCTTCCTGCTTCTGCTAAACAACACAGAGCAGAATGAATGAGCTTCCTTGTCGTCTTTGTTTGCCTTGTGCTTAAAGTAATTTATTTAATACTCCGTTTTTCTCCCTTTTAACTGTTTCAGTTGTGAGACTTTTATCACTGGCTATTATTATGCTGCATGTTTATTACTTTTATTTATTTTCAGGTGGAAGTAAATAATGGCTCCTCAACCCGTCATCCGATCTAGACAGACGGAAAAAACAATAAACGGAAACCCAACTCAAGTTGTCTGCACGGAGTTCAGCAACTACATTTTTATAGTTTTGACACAGTATGGTAAAATTGGGACACTTGTATCCATAACACCTGACACGAGGTCTGGTGAAATCAGCCTACCCATGTTCAGTACCAGAGTTCTGCTGGGAAAGGATGAGGTAGGTAATGAAGTTAGTTTATGTTGGATAATCCATAAGGCAGATAAAATCATGTTTGTATTTCACCTTGTTCTTTTTGTCTCCTTTGCAGCCTCTTACACATGTCTACGCCAAGAATGTTGCAATGTTTGTCTCTCAAGAATCAGGCAACCGACCGGTCCTGCTGGGCCTTTCACTTAAAGACAACAGCGCTGAAACTATGAAAAGCGTTAAAGATATGATCAAAGCCTGCCAGGTTTGGTAAAACAGGAGGTCAAACGGCACTATTTCTGGATGAAGTCAAATGATGTATCTGCACAGTTTTTACAACGTAAATCTTGACTTGTCAGAATGATCTGCAAGTGCAGTTGTTATCGCACACACTTTGAAAAGCTTGAATTTTAATGTTAAAATTAAGAGTGCTGTTCAAGATCACATCTGTTTGCCTCTGTATAATAGATGTCTTTCAGATGCCCTGACATTAAAATTATATTTTCTGAACTTTTATTTTTTGGTGCTTATTTAAATGTCTCACACCAATCCCAAAGTCTTTGAAGAGGCACCTGGTTCAACACATGCACTGTCTGCCTTTTTCAGCAGCCATGGTTCTGGAATGGTTTTTCTGTTTATTTTTCCCATAGGGAATTTTAAAAAGTCTTTGTTGAGGAGTTATAAGCCATGAACCAAGCAGTCAGCTACGAGGTGAATCACAGCTCTACAAACTTTGAATTGAAAGTCTGATTGAGAGCTGGGGGGGGATCTTTATTTATACTTAAAGTGATAGTTCACCCAAAAATGAAAATTCTGTCATTAATTACTCACTCTCATGTCGTTCCAAACCTGTAAGACCTTTGTTCATCTTTCTTCATCTTCAGAACACAAATTAAGATTTTTTTTAATTAAATCCAAGAGCATTCTGACCCTCCATAGACAGCAACACAACTGAAATATTCAAGGCCCAGAAAGGTAGTAAGGGCATCGTTAAAATAGTCCATGTGACATCAGTGGTTCAATCGTAATGTTATGAAGCTCTGAGAATACTTTTCTGGGCAAAGAAAGCAAAAATAACAACTTCAACAATTTCTTCTCTTCCGTGTCAGTCTTCGCTGTGCGTTCAGGAGAGTACCACAACGCATGCGTGTGGTGCATGCTGATGCATGGAGCCAACGTAATACTTAATAACAGCGTAATTAATGACAGAATTTTCCGTTCTTTTCCCTCTCTATTATATTTATCTTCCATTTATTCTATCTTTGTTTTATCCACATCCTACTTCTCGATATAGTCTATATTATTTTAAATTTTCTTAAATTATTATGTGTGTGTGTGTGTTTCTTTAAAATTGCTTCATTGTTGGTTCTGTATGTGGTTGAACTATGGGACAAGGAACTAAGGGAAAACACAATAAAGAAACCTTGAGAAATAAAGAACCCTGAAGCAAAGACGTATTTGAAAATCAGACAAATCACTGGTTTAAAAAAAAAGTGTACTTAACTTTAATGAAGGAAAGAACAACAATCACATAAGGCAGTGTCATTTGTTTTAAAACAATGGAGAACAAACCTTATTTTAAAGATGTAATTAATGGTTATTGCACTATGCAAAGAGCACATAGAGGCGGACAGTAACTAAGTACATTTACTTGAGTATTGTACTTAAGTACACTTTTTGAGTATCTGTACTTTACTTGAGTATTTTTTTTGGGGGGGAACTTATGACTTTAACTTCACTACATTTGAAAGACAAATATTGTACTTTTCACTCCACTACATTTCTATCAAGGTCCTCGAAGTAGAAAGTCGTTACTATGTAGTAGCTTTGAAAGTCAGTGGGTGATTTTTTTTCTTCTCTAAAACGTGACTTTCTTTTTTTTCAGACAGTTTATCAGTAATCACTCTTGTAGGGCTACAACAGTGCATCATTGGAATGGTTGGGCGCTAAAGAGTTCTATTGGCGAACTTTGTTGTGATTTTCTGATTGGTGAAGATTTCGTTGCAGAATTCTGGGTAATGTAATATTCTACCAAAAAACTATTTTGTTAAACATAATTATTATTTAAAAAACAAAAAAAAAAACAGTTTAAATAATGCAGGTTTATGGCTTTAACATGGGCATAGGTATACCACGGACCTCATAGCTCAGTCTGTAAAGGTGTAGAAGTTATCCTTAATATCAATTCCTCTAGGTCTAGGACAAAATTAATGTAATTATTTGCTCTCTAAACCTAACTGCTGCACCATATTACTGTTGGAGAAGAAACGAGTTTTACAACTGATCCCTGATGTATCTAGTGTGAATTAAGGTCATCTCTTCATGGCCCTCTTATGTCTCAAAGTGACCTAGTTTACCTGAATTAATCCTATGTTATTTATGTCAGTACGCACAGTTCTGTTACAGATTTATTTTCTGAGATCTAAAATCAATTTAAGTGTATTTATTAAGACTGCACGTGTCTAGCAAGAATACTGCAGCAGCTTTGAGCAACAGGTGCGCTCCTGCCGGTCGTGTCACGTGACCAAAGACTATAAAGTCGCAAAGTCACGTGACCTGGGTGTGCTGTTGTGTTGCGAAGTGCATACACCTGTCCTAATTTGAGACGGAACGACGAGCTTGATGGTCTGGAATTGGGAAAAGCCTTAATCGCTTCAGGATTTTTATAACGATTAATTAGTTCCTGGGCAGTTTCCACCGAGCTGACTGAAGTCCATCAGTCCTGTCCAAAGTTAAACGAGGAAGTGCGCGTGACTCATCGGTGTCGTCGCTCGGGCCATATCCACCTCTGGCTACAAGTCGTATACTAATCTTTTTTTAATCACTCATGTATGCAATGTATTTATTCTTTTAGTCCCAGTGCGATGTTCAGTGTCAAGTGACGTTTATTGTAAAGTAATCCGAGTTTGATCGCACTAAACTCTCACAGGTGTTGACACTGTATCAGGGTAAGTGCTTCATAAAATATCTATGAACAGGTCTTACCTGCTGTTTTAATAATAGGTTCGATTAACTAGCTTTTTTTTGTCTTTTAGTGTAAAAGGGGCATATTTTACTGAAAAATTCTACACTAGCATATGCTATGTATATATTACAATTTACAAAAATTCAATGTCAACCATAGTTTCCAGTGAAATATTATAGTAATCTTTGTTGTGATAACTATAAAACTATAGTTAATCAAATATTGATTATTTATAATAAACTGACATGAGATCTCCTTCAAACAATATAAAGACTGGAGATTGTACTTACAAAGGAAACACCGTTTTATTGTAATAAAAATAAATTATGGTACATTTTTGTTAAATATAAACTATATATATATATGTTTATAAGTCTTTGTTCTGTTTATTGGAACAGAAATAGTGCAATTGATAGATAAACATGTAAACAGATTAAGGTTTTAATTTTCTTTTCTTTAAAAAAAATACAATTCATTAATTGCATTAACTTGATTTAAAAGTGACATGTAATATTACAAAATATATTTTTCAAATAAATCAAGTTCTTTTGAAATCTGAAGTGAAAATGCATCTGTTTCCACAAAAATATTAAGCAGCAACTATTTTCTATATATATATAT